GAAAGTGCGAGTGCCCAGAGAGGAGGTCAGAGTCACGTGGCGCCTGCCGGTCCCAGCACTGGTGTGGCCACAGTCGCTGCTCTGGATGACAGTCGGGAGAGGGTTTGGGGCCGGCAGGGGACAGGCCTGCTAGAGAGCCCCTCCCGGCAGCAAGGTGGAGAGCTGGTGGGAAGGCGAACTCCACACCCGGAGGCGGAGAAGCTGTTTACTTGGCCGGAGCCGAGTGCTGGCTGATGATGGCCGGCCTAGCGATGCAGGGATGGGTCCGAGGGGGCCTGGGACTTGGTGACAGACAGACTGAGGGGAAGAAGGACTCCCGGGTGACCGAGGCCCAGTCCTCAGTGTCTGGCCAGAGGCAGCGAGACAGGAGTAGCTGGAGGAGGGACAGAGCAGGACAACAGGGCTCTGCTCAGAGCATGTTAGAGGCCTGCCTCCAGCCACACTGGTTGGTGTGCGGCATGCTTTCTGTAGAAATCCACCTGGTCGCGGATATTTTATTAAATTTCAAAACTTCTCTCAGGCAGATCAGCGGTTCGTATGGAACGGTCATCTTCTCAGAGAACTTTCTGCTCAGCCCGAGGTAATGTCCACTACATAAAACCTGCTTATTCGTTGCAGTTTACATTTGAATTGAAAATAAACTGTAAAATGCTTGCTTCATCCCCAAGGACTGTGCTAAGTAGTGCTGATTTAACCCTGTCGGTAACTTGTAAACCCTGAGTGGGTTTAGCTTCGCATATTGTTTTAGGTTAAAGAAGTCTCACTATTTCACCCCGAGTTCCCGTGGAGGCCTTAAGTAAAATACAGTGCTTTCTCAGAGAGAGGGAGACTCTGGGTGAGTAAGGAGAGAGGGCCAGGGCTGGTTCTCAGGCCAAGCAGCGAGCCGCGCCCTCGTCTTCCTGCGCAGCTGTGGCTCCCCTCAGTCACCCCGGAGACAGGCACAGACGCCTCCCTCCTGTCTCGTTTTCACAAATCACACGTGGTGTAAGCCAGAAGGCCCAGCTCGGGAGTCTAAGTGTAATGAACCTAGGTGCATCGGTTTGTCTAATCACTTTATTTCTTGTCGTCCGCTTTGCTTTTTTTTTGGAAAAGTAGTTTAAGTTGCAAACAGCATGGGAGAGCTTTCCCTGGAGGGGTGAAGTTGTAGGCAAAGACTGAAAAGGAGATAAACCCTCTGTAAGAGTGTGAGTTTCCCGCCCTTTTTGCCCTCTTGATGGTAACACATATTTGATGTTGCGTTAGAGACTGTTTCTTTACATTAAAAATTCCCCGCAAGCTCCCTGCCTTCCGTTGTGTATTACCTCTGAGTGTGTAACTTTTCTATAGTGTGCTGCTTCCTATTTTTGTATTTTCACTGCCCTTTATGTCTGTACACTGAATCTGAGTAGACCCTGTGTCTCGTTCCAGGTCCACCGGTTTGCCCTGCCAGTGCTGCATGGCTGTATCCTTCCGCAACCCTGCTCTGCAGTGCCCCCCAGTCTGCAGTTACATTTTATCCCAGGGCGGGTGGAGGGGCCTCAGTATCATAGGAGGGGGGTTCTTCAGAGTTAGCAGGAGTTGCTGTTGATAAGAAAATCAAACCCCTGACCGAGAACCTTAGAGTACAAATTGTAACTTTTTTTTTTTTAAAGAATGGGGTCTTCAGGAGTTCCGGGCTGGACCCTGTTTAACTGTAGGACACCTTTGTGTGCGATCTTGCACCTGTCCACTGCGTAAGAGTCCTTTGGACCCAACTGCTGGAATTACACCCAGGAGCCGGGGTGACCACCGACTCGGAGAAATTACAGTGCGAAAGTTTGTTATTGGAAATAGTGATAGAAAGATGAAAATAGACCAAGTACAAAGAACATTTCGGGGAACGATCATTTGGGGTAGGAATATAAAAGAAGGCTTGATGATCTAATTGTTAGGTTCACTTAAAAAGTATGTTTTTGTTGTAGACATGGGGAAGTCCAGGGCGTGGGCCCTCAGGACAGTGTGTCCTCGGGGTGCCTGGAGTCAGGACTGCCCGCAAACACTGCACCGTCTGCGTTGGAGCAGCTCAGTCCCCATGCTAACAAGATCGCATTAAGTTATGATGCTTGTTCTGTACTTAAAGCAGGAACGGCAGTGAAGGAAGCATTTCCACATTGTGAGGAGACAGAAAACCTCCTGGTAAAAGCTTTCTTCTGTTTTGTTTTTTTCTTCCTCATACCCTGGAGGTTTTTGAATTCTAAGACTAAAGACCAGATGTGTTTAGGTAATGCTTTAGGGAACCTGGGCCAGCTGTGGGTTTTGTGTGTTTGTTTTCCAAATTGAGGTTGTGACTGAGCGAGTAGCATCCAGTGTGACTGCAGTCTTTCTCCCTGCAGTGTTGGAGCCAGTGTACCGTTAAAGGCCCCGTGTCTAACCCTGCTCACTGGAACCGTGCTCACGTGTCCTGTGTGTCCGCCGAGCTCGGCAAGTGCCAAGGCCCGAGGTCGGAGCTGGCTGGAGCAGAGTCGGGGCGGGGCGGTGGGCGCCGTGCGGGTTCCTCCACCTGGGGGCTTGGCTTGCCTGTGGTGAGAGGCTCCTGAGGGCTGAGTAGGTGGCTGACGTGGCCATAAGGAGGCCACTCCGGCCATGAGCCAGAGGCCATGGACACAGGGTGTGAGGAGGCTTCGCCAGTATCCCACTGAGAGGTCTGGCAGCCTCAGGGCCAGGACAGTCGCAGTGAGGATGGGGAGGAAGGGCCAGGGTCTAGACGAGTGGTGAAGGCTGAGCTGCAGGATTTCCGATGCTGTCCATGTGCCGGGTGACAGGGTTCTGGGCCGGCCAAGGGGAAGGAGGCCATGGCTGAGGTAGGGGAGGGTCAAGAGGGAAGGGAAGCAGAGGGTTCAGAGTTCCATCTGTGATGCTTGGGATTTCTGTGGATGTCCACGTAGAGATGCCCAGGAGGTGGTGGGGAGGGGCCGGTGCCCAGCAGGGAAGTCCACACTGGAGACAGGCATCGAAGAGCCCCATAAAGCGGGTTGGGGCCGTTGTGGAGAAGAGAACTGTCTGGAGAGAGGAAGAAGGCGGCCCGAGGAGGTCTGAGATAGGGAGAAGGTGGGAGGGCCATGGACGGTAGGCCCCGGGAGGACGAAGGGCCTCTGGTGCGCAGGAATAGAAGCGAGAGAGCCGGAGGACAGGCCACAGGTAACCCGAGATGAGGGTTTGCAAACGAAGGTGAACCTCAGAGGTGGGTAGGGAAGAGAGCCAGCCGAGTGAGCAGAGGCCAGGGCAGGTGGAACTGGTGTGTCCAGGAGGCGTGTGGGCAGCTAACCCGCTGCTGGGTGGCCACGTACGACGACTGCTGGGGAGAGGCGACGCTGCTCCTTCCCGCCCCTGTGACACCTGTTTCTAAGTGCTCGTGAGGGTATTAGAGCAGGGGGTGTTAGTGACGGTGCCTGCTGGAGCGGTTCCTTGAGCGTAGAGTGAGTATGCATGTGAGTGGGTGCAGGTCGCATGCACAATGCACAGGTAGCCTGGCGTGGACAGAGTGCCCACCATTCGTGTCTGATGGACGCAGAGCTGCGTGTGGGGCGCTTGTGTGTCTGCGGGGTGGAACCTGGCATGAACAGAGTGCCCACCATCCGTGTCTGATGGACACAGCTGCGTGTGGGACGCTGGTGTGTGTCCGCGGGGTGGAGCCTGTGGTGGGCGTCTGTTTCACAGTGAAGTAGGAAGCACCGTCGCTGCTGGGAGAGGGCGCGGAGAGGAGTGTTGGAGACAGAGTGAGATGGGCCTCGCCTCGGGGAGGGTTTTTTCCTTTTTCCGTGAACTGCAGTATTCTAGGTCCCCCCGTTCCTCACAGCTTAGTCGAGGGTAGCTCTACGTAGAAGGCGTGTGTGTCTCACTCTGGTCAGGTTTCGGTGCTGTGTCCTGTACCCCGTGGAGAGTGGTTGTGGGTATCAGGGAGGGAGGTCTAACCCGCAGTGAGCTGCTGAGCACGGCTCACCTGCCCCTGCACGCTCACTGGCCTGTCGGGGCATCACTGTGAAGGCCAGTACAGAGGCGTGGGCTGTTCCTGGAGTCGGAGGTTTACATGTTCCTGCCCTGGTCTCCCTCTTAACGGCCATTCTTCCTCGGGTAAATAAATTCAGACCGACCGAAGTAACGTGATACCTCTGTGCGTATATTTTTCTTAATGTGGTAAGTTATTACCATGCATTCGTGCTCTATTAACGGAAAATGCTTTGATTGGATTCTCATCTCGAGGAGGAGTTGCTTCAGAGCCGGGGTCCGCTATTATGTCCGAGGTGAGACTGGCCTGTCCGCGTGATTCAGCGCGGGGTCCCAGCTGTCACTCTAGTGCTGTCTTACAGAGCATGCGTGTAACCTGTGTTTGGTTTCCATTGTCACTGGATTGCCTCACTAAGTACTTACTCCTGCCTTGCTGTGACAGTGAGGTAGCTGTCTCCTGTAATTACATTGAGAAGCCCTAACCTGACACCGCTCTCAGGACGGGGCGGGCTTGCATTGCTGGCTGGCTGCTGGAGGCCCAGCTGAACTCAGGGTAGTTCAGTAGCCTAAACGCATGCAGGAAATATTAATATTTTCTTTTATCGTTCTGGGTTTAAAGCTAGATAAATGAGTCTGCCTTCCATTTTGTAAACCTTCACGTTTTTAGCATTTCTTCTCCAGGCTTTGTGCTGGTAACATGCTACTTTGCCTTAGCCTAAGCCTAAAAATCTGTATTAAAGGTTGCTATAATTTTTTAAAAATAATTATTTATTCATTCATTTATTTTAATTTGACCAGAGAGAGAGAGAGAAAGAGTGAGAAAGCAAGCTGCCAGGTCTGGGACTCAAACCGTGGTCAGACATGTGGGAGTGTCCAGCACCTTAACCACCACGGCACCTGCTGGTCCCAAGGTTACTATCATTATGAAGAGGGTTGTTTTTATAACTAGACGGTATTAAAGTTGCATGGGCCATTAAATACATCACCGAAGTTTTGGACCGGTAACCTGTAGGACCCGTGTGGCTTATGTCATCACAGATGGTGGGGAGGGAAGCCACCGGGTAGACCAGCTGGCATCACAGACCACACTTAGAGTCAGCGCCCTCCGTGGAGCTAGGCTTTCTTGGGTAGGACGTTTTTATTAAATGTTTTGAATAGATCACGCATTTCGTAGCTCCGATATCAGAAAGTATAAGAAATAGGCAACAAGTCGTTGACAACCCTGGCCTCACCTGCGTAGCTTTACCCTCGCCCAGCTGACCCAAGGTCCCTTCACGTGTGTGGCAGGCACGTGTCTGCCTCCTCTGCACACGGTGGTCACACACTTTCCTGTACCTTGGTTCTTCCTGTTCTTAAATATCTCGGAAATCTTTTCCTAAGGATATCTGTCTGACTTTTTTCATTTAATGCGAATTATGGAGGGAAACAAGCATAGCCCGTGCTTCTGACAAGTAATCTTAGGGTGTATGGGGCAGGCAGGTGGTGTGGTGGGGAAGGTGCTGGACTCCCACATGGCTGGTCGCGATTCGAGGCCTGGACCTGGAAGCTGGCTTCTTTACTTTCCCTTTCTCTCTCTGTGTCTCTCTCTGGTCAGATTAAAACAGAATGATGATGATAATAAATAAAATGAAATAAAATAATTCCTTAAGAAAGAAAGTATGGAGAAGTGCCGTCATTGCCGATTGGCTCAGTCGTTTTGTCCCTTTCTAGGGATCCAGTAATGAAACCCCCACACTCCATACAGACCTCAAAATGTTGTACTTGTGAAATGCGTCAGGTGGGAAGGCTGTTGAGAACTGTTCGGAACAGTTAGAAATTCATTGGTTTGGTTTTGATAATTTGGGTAAGGGATCAACTTAAAAATTGCATTTGCTTGGCAAGATTTTCTTAGTAAAAACAGATGATGTTGGGGCCAGCGGCTGCCGTGGCAGTTTGGGCACTGGACTCCCACATGGCTGACCATGGTTCAAGTCCCAGACCTGGTGACTGGCTTGCTTTCTCTCTCTTTCTCCTGAGTGCATGTGTTCTGTAGCAAATTAAGATAATAATAATAATGATGATAAAATTAATTCTTTTTAAAAATAACACGTTGTAAACAAATTTGCGAAGGTATGCTTTAGATATTTCAAAGTGCCTATGTGCATCGTGACTGCGTGAAGCTTGATAGCACTGCTTTATTTATTTATTTTTTTAACAGAGGCTTTTGCTATAGGCCACATGTGCTCGCCAGAGAGACAGCAAGTGAGAAATCAGCCCCCCTTCCCTGGGGGATGGCCACGCCGCAACCCCTTCTCCTCCCTTCTCCTCCCAGGACTTTGGACACGTATGCATATGCATCCAGCATGATTTTAAGCCACTGGGTCCGGGACTTGAACTGTGATTGACTACATGGGAGCCCAGCGACATAACCATTATGCCATCTGCTGGTCTAATAGCAGTGCCTTTTTTTTTTTTTTTTTTCCTGATAGCATCACTTTTTAAACCAGGTTTCCTGGTCATATTCATGGAATTACTAAAGTTCTAGGATCATGTGCAATTTTTGCGTTTTTATCTTGATAATTCGTATCTGCCAGAGTTTGCATTATTGTAACTGTAACTGTTCATGAAAAGACCCACATTTGCATTTACTGTTGTGTCACTGCCAGGCATGCTCACCTAAATACATAGTTTTACCTTTCAAAGTCATATTTTCCAAATTAGTGTCTATGGACATGTTCTCAGCGTTCTTGGGATTTTTTTTTCTTTTTTTTTTTACATTTTTTTGTAAGAGGTTTTTGCTATAGGGCGCGTGCGCTCGCCGGACAGACAGAGACAGAGAGACAGAAAGTGAGAAATCACCCCCCAGAGGGGATGACCACGCCGCAATCCCTTCTCCTCCATTCTCCTCTCGGGATCTTGGGCACGCACGCACACGCGCCCGGCATGAGTTTTAAGCCACCGGATCCGGATGCGAACCGCGGTCAACTACGTGGGAGTCCAGCGACATAGCCATTACGCTAACTGCTGGTCCCGGGATTTTTTTTCTTGATACTTCAAGTTTGAGAAACAATGAGAGGAATTTTATGTGTATACATAACTGCTACATTAAATAGTAACCAACTCCTTCTGTGTATTAATCTAATCTTTTTAAGAGATTTTTGCTTGTGGGTGCTTGCTCGTGCCAGAGAGACAGAAAGTAAGAAATCACCACCGAGGGGATGGCCACGCCCTAACCCCTTCTCCATTCTCCTCGGGATTTCGGGTGCATGCACACGCACCCTGTATGAGTTTGAAGCCGCTGCGTCTAGGACTCGAACTGCGATTGACTCCATGAGAGTCAAGTGACATAACCATTACACCATCTACTGGTCCCATATTAATCTATCTTTAATACTTCTCTGTAAGCCTGTCTAAATGAGCTAGCTTCTGTTTGTTTTCCAATCTCGTTCTGTGCGTTTGTTTGAATTTTATTTTTATAAGTTCTTTTCCACGGATTTAAAACGACTTCATTCTAAGTTACCCTGGATCTCTGAGTTTCCGTGTGTTCTGTGTAATGGTCCGATCTCCGCTATTTTCGCTGTAGGCATCGACTCCGAAGGCCACGCGGCTAACTTTGTGGAGACGGAGCAGATGGTGCACTACGGCGGGAGCCGTGCCTCCTTCGTGCAGGTACTTGGACGCCTAGGCCTGCCTGTTAGGTGCCGCACCAGCCTTCTCAGCTGCCTGGCGGTCCTCCCTCTCCTTCCCTCTTTTTTGAAAGTTGATTTCTTTCATATGAGAAAGAAAGACGACACCCCAGCAGCTGGCAAGGCATCCCAGCTGAGCACATTGGGGCGTGCCTGTGTCCCAGCAGACCGGGGACATGAACCTGGAGCCGTCCCCTAGGGCTTCTATCGTCACAGTGTACTGCTGCATCTCCAACTAGGCATCCTCTTTCTTAAGAGATGTCTTTGTATATGGCGGGGGAAAGCTCACCCCGAAAAGGGGCCGTCCCTTCCTTCCTGCCCTTAAGGAAAGCCCGAGAGGCCAGAGTAGGGAGGCAGCCCAAGGGTTTTGGACCTGGAGCTCCCTGTCTCTTTCACCTTTAGCCTTATTCAGGGCAATGGCGATAGGACCAGCTGCCGGCTCGGGACTGGCGTGACCCGCTTTGCATGTCACTGTGAGGTGGTCCCTGTTTTCTGCTTGCTTATAGAGTTATGGGTCATTCATGTGTTTCTAAACATACTCATTTGAGAAAGAATAAGACAATTTTCTTCTTTTTAAATTTTTATTCATGGATAGATTGATTTTAGAATTAAGAGCGGGCCATTACCCTCCCCTCTGGTAGCCGCACACACCGTGTAGCAAACAGACTGACAGGAAGAATTTAAGGGCGTACAGGACGCGTGAGTGCCTTGGGCATCAAAGCAGAATGAGAAAGACCTCTCCGGGTGGGCGTCCCCCAAGAGGAGAGCTCAGGAGCACGTGAGGATGCCCTCTCCAGCGGCTGGGTTGTCGTTTTTCCTGTGCACAGCCTTGAGTACACATCCTCTGGAAGTAACTGAGAAAAACAAGTTGGTGCGTGTTTTTACATTTCTTCCTTTGCTTTCAGACTCGAGGATCAATTCCTATTTTCTGGTCGCAAAGACCAAACCTGAAGTATAAGCCGCTGCCGCAGATCAACAAAGTGGCGAATCACGTGCGTATCCTCCCGCCTCCTCCCCATCGTTTCCTTCGACTGAAAGCGGGAGCTGGACAGCATCGTGAGGGCTGCAAACCCTTAGGGCATAGAGAGTGAAAGTCTGAGTTTATTATGGGGCAGAAAATTTAAGATCCGCACGTAGGTTTTCGTAACACAGAGCACGTACTCCCAGTATGTCAGAGTGGGATGTTTTTGAAGCCCTCCCCACTGGCTCTGGTACACAGAGCTCTTCGAAAGCAAAACGCTGCACAGAGGGCTTGTCAAAAGCGAACGGGAAAAAAACTGTGATTGCAGGGCACGGCGGGTGCAGATTTCCCAGATCTTAGTGAGGCTGCAGCTCTCCGTGGTTACAGTACCCAGTGCAGGGCACGGCGGGTGCGGATTTCCCAGATCTTAGTGAGGCTGCAACTCTCTGTGGTTACAGTACCCAGTGCTGGGCACAGTGGGTGTGGATTTCCAAGACCTTAGTGAGGCTGCAGCTCTCTGTGGTTACAGTACCTAGTGCAGGGCACGGCGGGTGTGGATTTCCGAGACCTTAGTGAGGCTGCAGCTCTCTGTGGTTATAGTACCTAGTGCAGGGCATGGCGGGTGCAGATTTCTGACATCTTAGTGAGGCTGCACCTCTCCATGGTTACAGTACCTAGTGCAGGGCACGGTGGGTGTGGATTTCCAAGAACTTAGTGAGGCTGCAGCTCTCCGTGGTTATAGTACCTAGTGCAGGGCACAGCGGGTGTGGATTTCTGACATCTTAGTGAGGCTGCAGCTCTCTGTGGTTACAGTACCTAGTGCAGGGCACGGTGGGTGTGGATTTCCAAGATCTTAGTGAGGCTGCAGCTCTCCGTGGTTATAGTACCTAGTGCAGGACACGGTGGGTGTGGATTTCCGAGACCTTAGTGAGGCTGCAGCTCTCTGTGGTTATAGTACCTAGTGCAGGGCATGGCGGGTGCAGATTTCTGACATCTTAGTGAGGCTGCACCTCTCCATGGTTACAGTACCTAGTGCAGGGCACGGCGGGTGTGGATTTCCGAGACCTTAGTGAGGCTGCAGCTCTCTGTGGTTACAGTACCTAGTGCAGGGCACGGCGGGTGCAGATTTCTGACCTCTTAGTGAGGCTGCAGCTCTCCGTGGTTATAGTACCTAGTGCAGGGCACAGCGGGTGTGGATTTCTGACATCTTAGTGAGGCTGGCGCTCTCTGTGGGTACAGTACCTAGTGCAGGGCACGGTGGGTGTGGATTTCCAAGATCTTAGTGAGGCTGCAGCTCTCCGTGGTTATAGTACCTAGTGCAGGACACGGTGGGTGTGGATTTCCGAGACCTTAGTGAGGCTGCAGCTCTCTGTGGTTATAGTACCTAGTGCAGGGCATGGCGGGTGCAGATTTCTGACATCTTAGTGAGGCTGCACCTCTCCATGGTTACAGTACCTAGTGCAGGGCACGGCGGGGGGGGGTTTTCCCAAGATTTGAGAGGGC